TCCAACGCCAAAGCTTACTTGATATCCTAAGATGCTGGAGTTTAACCAACAGTTGACGTTTAGGAACGCGACCAAAAGCTTTAGGGAAATCCAAATACAAAGTATCTACAGTGTTCCCAGAACCAAATTCCCTGGTCCAATCTGACAAACAACATACAAAGTTGGACTCAATTGACTTACCAGGTAAAAAACCATTCTGCTGTGTTGGTACTAAAGAATAATCTATTAAAAATTGGATCAGCTGCTCATAAATAATTGATTCCATAATTTTGACAACTACGGAAGTAAGACTAATTTGGTCTATAATTACTGGCTTATGTTTATCGCCTTTCTTGAAAATAGGACGAATCATTGCTGTACGCCAGTCCGGTGGTAGGGAAGCTGTATCAAACGATTGCCTCATTAATATCCCGATAGGTTCGCGAAGCACATCCGCACAACACTTAAGAAGCTTAGTGGTAATAAAATCAGGACCAGGAGATTTTGACACGTCTAACTTTTTCAATTTTTCGTATATCGCACACTTGGAAAAATCGACCTCACTAAGTGAAGCGTAATTAGGAGGACCAGATACGTTCGGTATTGCATCTCGTGTGAAAACAGTTGAAAAAGTGTCGGCCAATATATTAGCAACTTCGCTACTATCATCCCTTAGAGTTCCGGAATTATCCCTAATTTGAATAGTCGCCACGGGCCCTGAGAGTTTTGTGCGGATATGTTTAAACAGACTCTTGGTGTTTTTAGAATCTGTGATTCGGGACTCATATGCAATTGTAGCCTTCTTGATAACTGTAAAAACTTGGTTTGAGAAACTGCTGTGCGCTTTGTAGCTCTCTACTGAACCAGATCTTTTCCAGTTACGCCAGAGCGCTCGCTTCCTTCTTACTAACTTTAAAATGCTACCAGTTATCCAAGGTTTTTTACAAGACCTTTTAGCTAGAGTGGTACTTGTCATGTAACTTGCTTTTGAAGAGATTCGTTTTCCGAAATTGAATTACGAGATAGTTGTGATCTCCAGTTTGTTTCTGCTAAACATTGGTTTACTGCTGCAAAATCAATAGCTGTTCTCTTAAATGAAACAGCTCCAAAATACCAATCGGATTAACATAGTCCAAACTGGAGAGAGAACTATCATCCGATAAAATTATTAAATCAAGGAGGGATGGAATCTGGTTGGATCGGTATCTTGTCGGTTGTAAAACATGCTGGTGTAAATGGCTGTTTACACTGGTCAACAGCTAAACTCTAACTTTTATTATAGCAGCCAATTATTATTTAATTAACAATTTTAAATGATATTATAAACGGCTAAACCCAAACTTAGCTCTCATTTAAAAGTAATCTTCAATATTATCCTTTGAAAAATACAAAAATCGTACTATTAAGTAATAGGAAACTTTCTATAAGGTGTATTTTTTTGTGATCAAATTGCTACAAACTTCTTGGGAAACAATAAGAAAACTACGTTTAGTAAGTAGAAAACATGTTATCATCATATAAAAAATTTAAAATTAACATATTCTTAAAAGTGCATTTTATGTATTCGCATCTTGATTTTTTCCCCAAAAATTATGACGACGTGAGTGTCGGACATAGAGAACGCTTCCATCTGGGCATTTTGTGGATACAAAAACGTTACCAAGATCGATGGAACACCTAACACCGCAGAATACTATGTCATCCTTACCAGCAAAAGTTTATAAATAAACACAAAATTCCAAAAAAAAAGCTTATTCCCGTAATTTAACGGAAAAATCGACCTACCTTGGTCACTAGCAACGGCGTTGTTTACTAAATGAAAAATTGTGTGACAGGTGCAATATTACAAAATGTGCGACGAAAACTTGCCGGAACGTGTTTTGGCAAGTGCTGCAAAAGCTGTGGAAGGAATAATTCCAGTGAAATCGAAATCTGTTTACGAAAACGAATATTCCCGCTTCATTCAATGGACAACGGACAATTCAGTAAAGACCGTAAATGAAACCGTTCTGCTTGCTTATTTTCAAGAGCTAACTGCGGATTTTTCTCCGAATTCGTTGTGGACTAAATTTTCTATGTTAAGGAAAGAATTAATAGTTAAAAAAGTGGTGAATAGTGCTAAAAAGTTTTCCCAATTGGAGGCCTATTTAAAGCAACGCTCAAAAGGCTACCAACCAAAAAAATCAAAGGTACTAACACGGGAACAGGTCTTAACGTTCCTTAAAAACGCTTCAGATGAATCTTGTCTGATGATTAAAGTCGCTTTGGTGATGGGTGTGTTTGGAGCGTGTAGAAGGGATGAGCTTGTAAAAATGAAGCGCAGCGATGTTCGTGATATGGGTGAACACATACTCGTCAATATACCAGCTTCGAAAAATGATAAACCAAGAAGCTTCATGGTCATTGAGGACAACGAAATGGATGCTTTGCGGTTGATTCGCAGCTACATATCTCGTCGACCATTACATGAGACAAATGACAGAATTTTTTTTATGCCTACGTGAGGGTCGATGTACTGCACAACCTGTGGGTAAGAATACTATAGGGGCTATACCATCCAACATCGCCACATTTTTGGGTTTGCCTGATGCTAAAAGCTATACTGGTCATTGTCTGCGACGAACTGCTGCGACATTACATGCCGATGCTGGAGGAAGCGTATTAAATTCAAAGCAACTAGGAGGCTGGAAAAGTTCCACAGTGGCAGAAAAATACGTGGATGATAGCGAATGTTCCAAACGGAAGAATGCTCGTTTAGTTTCTGGCGTAAACAAGTCAGTTGACATCAAAACGTCAAGTCAATTTTCAAGTGTTACAGATTCCAAAGGTGTTAATTTTTCAGGTCACTTTACTAATTGTACTTTTGAAATAAAGCAAAAAGAATAAATTTATATAAAGTACGTTATTGTTCCATTTTTATCATTACTCTTACTGTAATTTCTGAATATTGAAAAATAACGCCCTAGGGCCTATTAATTTCAAAAATAACGCCCTAGACCGTTATTTACATTGTAACGCGTATTAAATAAAGGTTGTTATTGAAAAATAATAATAAAGGATGACATAAAGGTTAATTATCACCACTTGGTTCATGCAGTAAGTTAGCCAGATTAAGATCGTTGCTAAGCTCAGAAATTGGACTTGCATTAGGCTTGGAAACTTTACTAAGAGCCTTCTTAATTCTTCTTTGAACCCTTACAGACTTGTTCTTAATACTTTTGTGTGTGACTACATTAAATTAAGTACTCCCTGAATATCGTTAGTGCAAGTAGCAACCAGTGCTAATATATCACTAACTCCATTAACCTTTGTCATGAACTCAATAATCTGGTCATAATCTAAAGGATATTCATCTGTGTTGGTGATTAAAGTCCTTTGCTGGTAAAAGCAGCTCTGTCGTGGGCGTTAGACTCTCAGTAGAATCACTTTTAATTTTTTTGACTTGCTATCACTATCACCAGTATTATTTAAAAGATCAAGTGGATTTAACATAGAGGTATCGTCATCTGTGGTTTGCCTTTTTCCAGCTAATGTGTCAACAGGTTTAGAATGAACTGGTGAAATAGATTCAACAACTTTTGGGCAGTCATTTGCATAGTGACCGACCAATTTGCATTTAAAACAAACATCGTCAAACGTTAAGAAAATACGGTAGTTGGTATTATCGTACTTTAAAACGAGAGAAGAGGGCAATTCAATCATGTCATCGAGTTGAAGATAAATCTGTCTTCGAAAACTTAGGACGTGTGCATACTCATACTAGCCTTAGTAAAAGCCATCTTTGAAATTGCCTAAAAAATCCTAATGTTTTAATCTGTTTCTCAAATACAGTATGGGGAATGGACGGACAGACGTTAGACAAAATAATGCGACGCGCAGGATTAATAATAATAATAAAACAAATTCATTAAATTTGGCAGACAGAGATAAAATATTTGTACAAGCAAAAGAAAATTCAACCGGTGTTTCTACTTTTTTGAGTTTGTCGAAACAATCGTAGGACAGTCGTTGTGATATTTTATTGTGAGCTCAGTTTCACCTTGGTAAATGCGCCTTGATAATTCAGCACGGACCTCCTTTAGCTGTCTTTGCTCATTAATAGTTTTGTCACTGCTTATTTAGCATAAAATAGGGCGTACAGATTAACTGATTAACATTTCAATAATGTAATGGTCATTCGTTAGTTAGGTCTATTCTTGAATATGGCTGCGTCATTTTCTTTTTTTTACTCTCTGAAACCAGTTTATTTAAAAAATACCTTATATGTGTGTATTTCCTCTTGAAATACTAGGGCCGGTGGTGTTTTGCACGTGGTTTGCTGTACCTAAAATTTTACTTGACTTGAGTCTGCCCAGAATTCCTTTTATCTTTTCGAAAATGTAACAAAAATGATTTATTAATTATTTCGAAGAGAAAAACACTTAAACAACATAATAAATAAATCGAACGAAATTGAATTCGTAAACCGAGATAATATTTCCAGAACTATTTATGTCGTTCTTTCGCAATAACTTTACCATGGCGTCACAGTCAATTGATGATTTCTACCAAACATTACTTCGTTCCATCTACGATCAATTTTTGCCCCTGACTGCGGTCATCACTGCAATCTTCAACATGTCTTGATAAAATTATCAAAACTTCGTTGTAAATCCAACTTTCATTGAATGCACGAAATGTAAATATGTAACAATAATCAACCGAAAAATGTCTCGACAGTAATACAAGCACAGTGATAAAAAAAATGTAGGAATCTAGACTCGTCAATTCTTCCTACCTACTCATTGTTGGGTGCACGTCGCCCAACTAAAAGATAAAACACTGCTAGCAACATGATCAATCAGTCACACCGTTGTTCCACCTGCACACAGGAAAAACCTCTCTGGAAGTGGCTGTTCAAACGATATTCCGCATTTTCGGTGCAAGGTCAAACACTTTGGTAAAACCGTAAACACGCGGATTACTCAGAATGGTTTACATTAAATTACATTCAAGCACTACCAATCACAGTTTAGCTTCGTAAAAGATAAAAAAAAATGGTAGTTTATAAAACGTGCATACTAATCTATTTCTGGCAGTCTAACCTACTCTCGCCGTGTAAGCAGAGACTCAAGTACCAAAGAATGTTTTCGTTAACAACGTCGTTGTTTACTCTGATAGCTGCATTGTTTATCTCCGCCCAGGCAGCTTTGTGTGTGGAGGATACAAGAACGGTAGCACAAAATGCAGACAAAGTTTTGGAACAAACGGAACGAATTACTGTGTCTTTGAAAAAAATGGACTTTTTCCGGCAAGATTACTCTCACTTTTGTACTGGAAGTATCTTAAGTAAAGACTGGATTTTAACAGCTGGACATTGCTTTACAGACAAGTAAGTCAAAGTACACTGAAGTGTAGATTTTTTAGCGTCACGTTAACTCCAAATTTTGACTTTGACAATGCATTCGTACGATTATGAATTATTGGTTATTAAGTTTACTGATTGTTTGTGTTTCGCGGTCAGGGTTACAACCTCCGTACGTTGGATATCAGTACCTACATATCGCTCGTTGTAATAACCCGTGTCATCAGTTTCTTATCGGAAATTTTGTCTTACTGGCTACAAACGTAGTTATTTTCTAATGAGACAGATAAATCAATTTTTATGTATGGTAAGCATTTACTTGTGACCTTTAATTTCTGATCAATTAATCTGCTTTACGTGGATTCTTATCAACAATGTATTTATTTGTAGTGCTTTATCACCAGAATGCTCGTGTTAATTATTCACCGTAATGACTAATGAGTATGGTTTTACTATCAATACCATTTCATGGTCTAACAGCATATTATTTAACCTTATGTAGTCTATTCACCACGATGAATTTTGTGTGCGAGCCGAACGCGAATGTTGTAATCGTCCTAGTCGTAATAGCCACTTTTGCAAATCAAGTACGGCGTTTTACGATCCTTTAATGAAACGTTTCTTACTTAAGAAAATTATATTAACTTTATAATTTCGCACAATTTTGCTATTTTATAGTCTTTTTTAGTTTTTGTGGTAATAATTATTATCTTAGCTGTATCCACCACAACTTCCGCATGTGTGCATTGCGTACATTGTCGTTTTTATTATCACTGTCTATACTCAAGATTAGACATTCGGTTTGAATTGTCCGGGCAACAGGTTTTTTCTTCAAACGCAATTAAAATTATAAGATTCCTAAATCAAACAAATGCAGACACAATAATAACATTTATAAGTAAAAAAATCCTTGAATGTCATAACAAAGCGCAAGCACAGTAATGTGACTAATCAGCATTTAATTATGTGTAAAGTACAGGTTTGTTCAATGGGATTAAAGTATAGTCCGCCAAATACGGAAGTTTCATTTTCTGTTTGTTGAAAGCCACCCGATTTGGTGTGCATGAGCACAATTTAGGGTATAATGGTCAACGAGGTGCAATTTGAAAGATCTTTGATCCTTTCAGACAAGCACAACAGAAAGTCAATATACACTATTTGGCGAACTCTACTTTACGTACTTATAGTTACGTATCTTTTAAATGTTATTTAATTGTTATAATGTTATTATTGTGTAATTATAATAATAAAAAAAAAGCCCGCATACCTTTCATAGCAATATTAAAAATACACGAATATTAAAAAATTTAATAAATCGCTGAAACACTAATCCAAATCGCTATTTGTAGTATCCAAATCGTTTTCAAAAATGTTGCTTGTCTCATGTCTAGAAGGAGACGTACCTAAACAGTAGTATTTTGTGCCATCAGATCAAACTGTTTTCATCAGGGCTGTCGAACTACGTTTCATCCAAATAAATTATGATTTTATTTTCTTCTCTGAATTTTCTGATTTAATAAACATACTTAAATCGCATTATAGTCCATTCCATTGAGCAACTGGCTACTTTTATGTTTTCTCAACATTTAGTGACCCCTAGAGTACTAACAGTGGCTGGAACAATTACTTTTAAAAAGTAATGCGTTACAATTACTCATTAATAAATACTTCACGCAAAAGGACTCTATTCAAAATTTAAATTGAATAATAACTGACATTCAAAATTTTCCTAGAAACATCTGCACCAACACTAGACATTCTTTCCACTGCGGCGCTAGATAATTGTTGTGGGGCAATATGTTACATATTTTACCAAAATTTGAAGAGCCGATTCTTTTGCGCATAATTTCATTCCACTCTAGCTACAAATAAAAGTTCGATCCCAACTGCAACAACTTTTAAAGAAAAATTTGCATTGGCGGTAAATATTAGACCACCGATAATTACCTGTGGACGCAAATCTTTTAATCTTCAATAAAAAGGATGTTCCTAAATACTTAGAAGGAGGCTACATGAAAATGTGAACTTAAAAGTCTGTCTGCAATTGCCTCTTACTTGGTGTTGTGACTTATAGATTAAATTTAGAAAACCTTAGAGGGTGGACACTCCAAACAATTTTACTGTCGGATTATGAAGAGTTTAAAGGACGGACTCTATCGGTTACCTGCTGTAGATTTGATTAGACCAGAAAAATGGCTAAAGTTTGTTTGACCACAAATTTTAAATATTCTGCCACTGTTTACTCAATTCTCTATTACGATATTTTCTTTCTGTAAAGCGCAATGGATTTTTTAATACAATTTCTATTAATGTACCTTTCTGAAAATTTAAAATTGATCCATAAATAGCGAAAACTAGATAATCTCATACTCACCACAATTTTAACGCGTTGTAGTTTTTTTTGACAATAAAATTTAAAAAACAGATAAGCAGCCTGGGCAGGGTTTTTTACGCTCATGTCAACGGTGTCAAATTTATTACAACCGGACGTATACTTTTGGCAAAAACTTGGGCAGAAGTTTATATGTATTTCCCTACGCTGGCATGTGGTTTAGCTCACCCTTAAAATGATGAAGAGCTGATCTATATACAGGGTTATTCAGCTAAGATGACCCATTTATGTTTTTAAAATAGGCAACCTAAAATACCGATTCTACCTGATCCTGGATTACAAAAAATGTTTCAAAATTAAATTATATCAAAGTTTGCTAAATGTAAAGAAACGTCAGTCAACGTCAGTGTCAGAAAAACGCCTATGCATTCAATAACGAGAAAACCGACATGATCCTTAGTTATGGACACGTTATGGAGAATGACATAAAAAGGCTAGGCGTACATTGTATGCCCGAAGATATCCTGACCGTGTGGCCCCAAAACCCAAAATTTTCAAGAGGCTAAAAAATTCGTTGCGTAAGAAAGTGGCCTGCTAACAAGAGGAACTGGAACCAGATTGCGACTAGCTTGGAAAATGAAGTATAACTTCTTACACAAGTTAATGAGAGTAATAACTTTATAAGAAACCAAATAATCCCATTTTATTGAGTGTGTTTTCTTCAGTGATGAAGCCAAAGTCAGCAATTTATTACAGTTGTATGACGGTCTTAAATTTATTGAATGTGTTTCGTTCACCTACCAGGCAATTAAACAGCATAATGTACCCACAAAAATCTCTTTTATATTCGGCAAACATGTCAGTTTTCTCGTTATTATCGTAAGAATGCATAGGCATTTTTCTAGCACTGACGTTTCTATACACTTATCTTATAAGCAAACTTTGATACAATTCAATTTTGAAACATTTTTTGTAATCCAGGCTCAAGTGGAATCGGCATTATGGGTTACCTATTTTAAAAACACAAATGGGTCATCTTAGCTGAATAACCCTATATATTATGGTTATCTGGTTTTTTAACAAATTCTGTATTAAACTCGTTTCAGATTTCAACTCCCTAATGGGCAGTGTTGGGGACAGATACTTTTAAAAGTATCTAGATACAGATACAAATATATGGAAGATAAAAGTATCTAGATACAGATTGTTTTCAATTTTTTCGAAATGTATCTAGATACAGATACAAGATACTTTTTGAAGCTTTGGCGAATAAAATAACTGGAAACATGTCCTTTTACCTCTATTTTTGTTTATGTGACCAAAATCATCAACATGAAGTATCAAAAATTACTACTAGTATAACTCAACTAATAACTACTGAAAAAAAAAGTGAAATAAAAAATGTATCTGTATCTGCGCCATTAATTTTTTATCTAGATACAGATACTAGATATCCACAAACGTATCTAGATACTTTTTTTAGATACAAGTATCTAGATACTGCCCAACACTGCTAATGGATTAATCTTCTCTTTGTGGGGACGAACTAGGTATAATAATTCCAGCAGGTCAGGTAAACGATTCGTAGAGAAAAACAAAACTGTATTTTTGAGTTTTTGGGTTAAAAGTAATTGCAAAAAGTGACTGAATTACTCAAAATAAGTAAAGGAATTGAATTGCTGGAAATTGAATTATTTTCAACCACTGATTACTAGTACCCTGCGCCTTTCCAAATTGATATACGTGTCCTTGCAAAAGCGTTGATGACGTCGTCACAAAATTTTGTAAAGGATAAACTCACTTGAGACATTGAGGAAAAAAAATATAATTTTTTGAACAAGCTGGATAGTACTTATAGCAACGGTTGTTCAACTGAAAAATCATTCAGAGTAGGTCTTGGAATTTCACATAACATAAAAGGCGTGTCTACTCTTAACACTTAACACTTCGCAGAAACATAACCTTAGATTTTGAAACAAACAGTTTCTGTCACCTATCCAAGTATTGGAATGGTTTGTTTTAAAATGTAAAATTATACAAATACGTGGCAGGAACTGTTTGTTTTAAAATGTAAGGTTATGTATAAGGATATTATGAACAGAGATTTTTTGTTATAAGAATAGACATGCCTACTGTGTCAAATGAAATTCCAACGCCTACTCCGTTACTCCATGGACGAGGGAAGTCCTGTCGAAATAACCTTCGACAATTTTTTTAATGCTTGGTCAATAATAAAGAAAAAATTCAGCATTATTTTGGGACTAATTTTTCCTAGATTTTCTCTGAGCTTGTCTTCTTTATCGTTTGCTTTCACACATACGATATCCTTGATAAATTCAATCGAAATTTCTTTTACAAATACCTAGTGTTAAATGCACAATCTATACCTATATAATAAAGCTGAAGTGATTGTTTAATTGAACGCGCTAATCTCAGAAACTACTGGTTCGAATTCAAAAAATATTTTTGTGTTGGATAGTCCATTTATCGTATCTACATATAGGCTATATAACATCACGCTACGATCAATAGGAGCGAAGTAGCAATGAAAAATTCGGAAAACGGGAAAATTATTCCTCCTCTGACAGTTTCCATTGCTTACGCTGCTTAAACGGTTAAAGTTACGTAAAAAACATGTATGACGAAATTGTTCCCCTCTAAAAGTTCTAAAGAAAAGTCCCCGACAGCATATGTA